AGATTCTAGTGATGAGGATGATGATGATTCGGACGAGGATGATGACTTTGAAGGGGGATCATACAAATCTCCTTTCTCTTATAATAGAAGGTTTGAACCTGGAAAAAGGTCTCTGGACTGGACTCTATCACCAAGAAAATCCAGACCCTCTATGGAAATACAAATGATATGTCGTTAAAAAAAAAGGTTTTTCTTCCAAGACAAGATAAGTGTAGAACATCTATCATGCCACCTCGTATTGTTCATCCTCTTCCATGCATAATGATTAACTCTACATCCTATAAAGAGGATTTTCGTCCTCTTGAAAGGAATATTGATCTTATATCTAAGACAACAACCAAATCACATGTTTTTCAAGAAGTTGGACCAGATGAAAAAATAAAACGACTGAGCCAAGTTGAGTAAGTATTGAGCTGGTAAACTGGAAATATCAAAGCCTAAACTCCATCTTATATAGAATTGATCAGAAGATAGACAAAATCTTTACACATATTGAAGAAACTGATGAGAAACTCTAGCATCTCAACTCAAATTTAAGAAAGTACTACAAGCAACTTTCTTCAGAACTCTCCCGGTTAGAGGAAGATTGGAGAAATACCATTTTTAGATAATTATCTCACGCCAAAGAAAAAGATATTAGAAGACTTAAAGCTCAAATTCAAGAGATGGATAATTACATTGAGGAAAAAGTCAAACAATAGAGGACTGAGAAAGATCTTTATCTTTCTTTGTTTACTTCAAGTCTGACATACTCCTCTTTCCATAATCCGTCTCCATATAGTCTTTTTGGTATGTACCTACAACCACTACCTATAGGCTACGACCCAAATCAGAAGCATCAAAGCCCGATAAGGGCAAAGAAAAGAAAATCAGTTACATATTCATGAAGTTGTACCTTCACCAAAAAGACAACCTCATCAAGACCCATTTCATCCCATTTTCCAAGATTCTCAAGATTCATATTCTCAAATGACCATAGAATCTTGTCCTAATCCAACTCCTAAGAATACTTTTACAACTGTTGAAAAGTATTCCTCTAAAGATTCAGAAATAGAAGTTTCCAATTATGCAGATTTAACCCAAATTCTAATTACTAACACCTTCACATCTAAAGTCAGACGTGAACCTATTTATGATACTCCTAATGAAGAAGTCAACTCTAGTCCAGCTAGAACAAATACCTCTTCAAAGACTAATGGAGGACCTTGGTTTACTATTGATGATATTCCTCCAAATTAGTGAGAGCCAGACTAATTATATTTGGAACTTGGTTAGATATCAAAATCATTAAGGAGTCTGATTCTTACAAGGTCATTGAAGAGTTTTGTTGTAAAATGACTAGAACCCTTAAGGAATGGTACCATAACTTGGGAGCTGTCAGAAAAAACTAGTTCCATGAAATGGAACAAACTTCAGCAGGACATGAAGAATTCATAGGAGATGACTCAATTGTTGACAAGAAACTCAGGGAAGATTTTTTTAAAATGAGATATTGGTCAATAAAGATTAAGGATATGGAAAAACACTAGAAAAGAATGAGAAAAAGATTCTACCATATTAATAGAGTTAACAATCCCAACCTGAAAAATACATATGTAGTATCTCTTCATGCTGAAATCCAGCCAGAATGGAATAGGATGACGATGATTATCCAAAAGAATTTCACTATCTTAACTATGAGTCAAATCTATTAGATGACTTTAAAGGTCGTTAATAAACTCTACAGACAACATGAATTATTCTCTGACATAATGAATTAGAAGAGTAAATTCAACAAATTCTGTTAGAAGCCCTATCTTGAAATCAAGTGTAAGAAACACTGTTTAAGAATATGCAAAAAGAAAAGGCAGGAAAACATCTTCTTAGCAAGAAGAAAAAAAATTCAAATTCTTCAAAAGGAAGAAAGTCAAAGGAAAATCCTATGACCAAAGATGTTTTATTTGCAAGAAGAAATATCACTTCTCCAAGAACTGTCCTTACAAAGCCGAAAGAGCTATAAAGCTCATCTACACTCTCAATCTTTGAGATGATGAAAACATAAAATCCATATAATCGGAACAAAGCTCTACATATGAAGAAACATTTTTTGCCCTCTCTATATCCTCTGATGAAACAGAATCTGGTCATTCATACAAGAAATCAGAAACATATATTATTCTTATTCTATCTTTCTAAGATATCAATCCCATTAATGTCTCACCATCTCAGTCATGTCTAGAAGTTCAGCTTCTTCCTTCTAAGTATGAGAAATTCATCAAAGTCATAGTTTATCTTGACACAGGGGCCCAAAAATCCATGGTGGATTTAGATGTATTTCTAAAAGAATTTTGGAAAAAGAAAGTTTCTTATTTTGTTACAGTTGATGGGAAGATCTTCAAGACTGATCTCATCACAAAATCTCTTATTAGGATTAAATTATTTCCAAAATATATAGTCTGGTCAAGAGTAATTGGAAGAAATCTTCCAAATAAAGACATATTGGTAGGAATAGATATTTATTTCAAGGCTCATAAGCTCCAAATCCATTCTACTAGAATAATATTCAAAAGAGAGTTTAAATCCTTCGTTGAAGTACCAAGACTTTTTTCTCTCTCTGAAGCTTCTCTGAGAAGAAATAAAAGTCAAATTAGCTACCCTATGTGCTAAACAATCATGAAGATTTCTCTCATCCAAATTCTTTGTTCAACTGCCCTTCAAGCTCAATGAAGATGTTAACCTTACAACGACCACATATCCTGTAATGTTTTCATCAGATCTACATTTGATATGACAAGAATACTAAGAACTCTTGAGACAAGGTTTGATAGAACCAACTCAATCCAATTGGGTCTATCAAGTCTTCTACGTGGAAAAGATATTAGAGGGAAAAATAAGTTAATCATTGATCATAAACATATCAATCATTTTCTTAAGAATGATAAATTTCCAATTCTCAAAATATCTTCCTTACTCACTTTGATTAAAGAAGCCTATATTTTCTCCAAGTTTGATCTCAAATTCGAATTTTGGCAACTAGGCATTGACCATTCTGATAGATATAAAACTATTTTTTGCATACCTTATGCCCAATATAAGTGAAAAATAATGTATTTTGGGCTTAAGGTAGCCCCTTTATTATTTAAAAAGGTCATGACAAAAATTTTTGAGCCCATATTAGATCGACTTATCATTTATATAAATGATATTCTACTATTCTCTCAAGACATGGACTCTCACAACAAGTTATTAAGTCAATTATTTGAAATATCTCATTAACACAGGATAATACTCTTTAAAAATAAAATTCACCTAACCCAAAGAGAAATTGATTTTTTGGGAATGCATTTTTCCCAAGACACATTTATCAACCTCAACCTCACATTGTTGAAGAGTTCCTCAATTTTCTTGATGGAAACTTAACTATAAAGCAAGTTCAACAATTTATTGAAATCCTTAACTACATGAGAGACTTCATTCCTATTATCACCAAGCATACAAGTCTCTTGTCCAAGTTGTTAAAGAAAAATTCTCTTTCTTAAAGACCAGAACAATCTTGAGCAATTAGAGAACTCAAGAAGATAGCTTAAACTACTTCAACTTTAAAAATCTTGGGGAATAAAAAAAGAATATTTCAGATTGATGCAAGTAATGATTTTTGGGGAGTAGTTCCTATTGAAGAAGAAAATGATAAAAAAATAATTCAAAGATGTTGAAAAACACTACCATACGTACCTATAAGAACTATCCATTAAATCTTTGTTAATATATTTCATTTTCAATATTTTTTCTCACAATTTTATTCTTGTGATTTATAAAGTATTAAAATATTCGTAAGTCCATTATATCTTTCATCACTAAATCATCATAAATAAGTTTGCATAATAATGTCATTGCTTTGGTTTATGTGTTAAATATTTATTTTCCTTTCTGGCAGTAAAATGTAAAGAATCATAAATTAGAATTAGGGTCCTGGAAATGAAGGTGAAAAATAAAAGTGAAAAAATTGTACTTTGGCTGGTCGAAACCAGAAAATGAAATAATAAATAAAGAGAAGAGAAAGAAAAATGTGTTGGGTTTTGATAAGGTCCAAACAATTCTTAAGAAGATAATACTAAATAAAATGTAATTGATATTTATTAAAAAAACTAAAAAAAAAAGAAAAATAAAGTGATAAAAGAAGGCAAATTGGATATTCACAAAAAATGCTTTCTGAGTGCAAGTTATTGTCAAATGAAAGCAAATGGAAGCCTCACAAGGATCCCAATGACTTCAAACATGCCAACTTTTCATATACATCAAACATCGAAGGGGAAAATAAAATTAAATATATTAAATTAAAAATATTTTTCCTTTCTTTGGGTTCATTATAAACGGTCTTTGGGTCTATCATGGACTTCCGCGTCCAAACCGCAGCCCGGCCCACGTGTATGGACACGCGCACGTGATGACATGACGATACATGCACACGACACGTAAATTATTCATGCATGTTCCAGAGTTTTGTTAGAACCCAACAATAATTAAGGAGGGGTTTGTTAAAGAAAAAACATTTTTATAAAAAGAAACTAACTTTCTTAAATAAAAAATATTTTATTTCATAAAATATTGCATCTTTCTTATTATTAAGTTATACATTAATTGTTTTTTCACGTTGGCTAAAAGAGTGTGCATCAAATTATTACGAAAAAAAAAATAGTAACTATAAACAACAACACGACAAATTGCGACGTAAAAGGTCATAATTGTTGTTTTTTCTATTTTTCAATGTTTCATATTTAGCAAAATATCTTAAACATTAAGCAAGAATAAAAAAAAATACTGAACCGCCTTTCATACAAAAAATATTAACGAAAAACAAAAATAGCAAAACGCGTGTAATAAATAATAAATATTAATAATTTAGTAGGTACCTGGAAGGTTCCTATATATTATTCCTCAAACAGATATATATTCGTTGTTTCAGTTGTGAAGGGAATACATAGCCTAACAGAACCTATTGAAACTCTTCTTCTGTGACAACCATGGAATACAGAACCCTAGAACTCAACATCATATCCGCCAAAGACATAAAGAATGTTAATCTTTTCTCCAAGATGGACGTTTACGCCGTCGTTTCGCTCTACGGTGACCCTCTTCATCATCAAAGTTCAACCACCCCCGTCGACAAAGATAGCGGAACCAACCCCAAGTGGAACTTTCCGATGAAATTCTCCGTCAACGAAACGCTCGCCAAGGAGAACCATTTGTCCCTCGAGATCAAGCTCGTCTCCGACCGCACCCTCGGTGACACCGTCATCGGCACCGTCCATGTTCCTCTCAGGGAGATTATCGACAACCCCGGTGACGACGACAACTTCCGACATGTCACTTACAAGGTCATGAAATCTGCAGGAAAATCCAAGGGATCTTTGAATTTATCTTACAAACTCGCCCAGAATGCATCTGCTCGGTTTGCGGCCAAGGCGGCCGCCCCGAAGGCAGAGACGGAGCCGGTCATGGCGTACCCTCCTCAGCCATCGGCGGGATCTAGTTCGGTTCCGTACGGAACATCACACCCTCCGCCACAATATGCTGCTTCAGGATATGGATATCCAACCCAACAGCCTTATGGTGGATACCCACCGGCTCAACCAGCATACGGGTATCCACCTCAACAAGCATACGGTGGATATCCTCCACAGCCGGGTTATGGGTATCCGCAACAACCGGGATATGGGTATCCACAAGCCCAGAAACCAAAGAAGAACAAGTTTGGGATGGGGTTGGGAGCCGGATTGCTCGGTGGTGCCTTGGGTGGCATGTTGATCGGAGATATGGTATCTGACGCAGCAGCTTATGATGCAGGCTTTGATGCTGGATTTGATGATGCTGGAGGATTTGATTTTTAAGTTATTTATTTATTTATTTATTTAGTTAAGCGTATTTTTATGGTTTCTGGATTTCACTGTTTCTTTTTTCCGGTTGAGTATGAGGTTATGTATGAGTATTTGTTTTATATACCTCGTTACCTTACTCTATCTATCTGGTATGTTATTAACACACGTACAACTTGTGATTTCCTTACCATTCAATTCTATTCTATTCACAAATGATAAAACATAAACGTTAAGTATAATTAGGGGACGATGATGATGACGACGACGACGATAAAGTAGCTGAACAATTATTTTCTGTTTTGTGGCTGATGTTTTTGTTGGTATAACGAAGAAGATTGATGGTTTTTTAGAATTGAAGTGATCATAGAGAAAGGGTGTGTTTTTCAGATCAAATGGCTTGCCAGCGAATTTTCGGGGTGGCTGTTCTTCTTTCTAATTGTAAACATGATTCCAGTGAAGAGAAATGATAGAGTTGACAAAAATATATCAGGGTGATAATTTTGGACTAGTGCAAAACATAAAGTTTCATGTTTGATTTGTTGCCTCATGTTGGTTTCCTTCCAAGTATCGTTTCACAAACGAAACTTCCTCAATATCATTATCTTGTTTCGTGTGTTTGTTTTAAAAACAAAACTGAAAGAAGACAGACAATAAGTAATCTTCAGAAAAATCATACTGAAAAACAATGTCTCTACTGTTGCAGAGTTCTGGTTAAAAGTAAAGCAAGTTATTGATTTGCACTGGAGCTAAATCAAGCAATGATTGAATTAGCATAACATTAGCTGGGTTCTGAGTTTCTTATTGATAACAGGGCAATATAAAGCTAATAAGCAAGATATATCTTTTTTATGGTAGCAGCATATGGAATATATGAACTAGAATAATGGAGCAGAATTTATTCCTTGTTATCTTGAATAAAAATTTAAAGCGAGGAGTGATTATTCCACTCTAGTAGTAGGCTGGCCCCAAGTTCAGTAAACAATATTAACCCACCAACACAATACCTAACATTTTAGATTCAAATCAAAGCTGTGTTCATAAAGAGGATTACACAGTGAACTAACTTCGACGAAAAACAATAAATGGGGCATGTTCTATTACAGATTGATAATCATGGATATTAAATTTTTTGTATAAGAACTTAGTCAGTGTTTTCTTTACCTTTGATTAGGCAAAAACATAAAGATGGGTCCATCCTTTTGGTATTTTTTTTAGGAGTACAGTCTTTGAGTCAATTTTGATTTACCTCCAGAGGTGCTAAACAACCGCAAAACCTGAACAGATGTAGGAATAGAAGTAGACACGTTCAGAACTCTGATGTGGTTTATCTGGTCTTGCTGAACTATTTATAGACATGGCGAATGTCTTGTGAAGATCAACTTCATCAAACCCCAAAACTTCTTCTCCGTGAAATTTGCATGGTCCGATGATAAAGGTTATAAAATCAAGATTCATGGTCATGGTGTTCCAATTTCCACCTCTTTTTTTGTCATGTCTACGTGAGAACATAGTATACGATATATAAATGTATTCCTTCGATGTATGTCCCTCTTCAGCCAAATTTTCTTCAATAATCATTAAAATTTTGTTACCATCCACTATTTAATGGAGAAGTGCTATTATCACAATATGAATCAACTTCTTCGCAAATATATTTTGGAAAAAAATGAAATAAGTTTTTTCATATATAGGTTAAAAATTTAGAGAAATTATATATTTAATAAATTAGTTTGTGTATAAATTAATTTTAGCTTATGAAAATATAATTTTAGTTTTTCATTCTATTTTTTCTCTTCTAAAAATGGAGAAGTATGTTGTTAGTGGAAAAAAAAATAGAAAAGATTAAATTATGTTTTTTAAAAATATTACGCATTAACGCTTTTTGTTATTTTTTAGTTATAGTGAAAGGCTATAATGAAAAAAGTTACTAACAAAAATTCTATTATTCGCCAGAAATAAAAATATAATCTTTCTTCAAAATAAATATATATTGATATTGTAAGAGTATATTTAATTAATTTTTATTTATTATTTCTAAAAATAATTTTTAATGTCACTTACACAAAAAAATATATCTCTCACTATTTTATTTATTTATTTATTCTATAATTATCTTTCCTCACAACAAAAGATAAATTAAAAGATGTTTAAAAGATAAAGATATGTTTCATGAACGAAACAAGAGAGGCAAGTTTTTTTGTTTAATGGTTCATCTCCATCACCTAGAGTAAATGTAGTTTTTGAAAAAAAAAGTGATCGAACATTACTTCACTTTATTTTATATATATATATATATATATATATATATATATATATATATTATTGTGATATATTTTTAGTTATATATTGTTTAGGAATAGAGATGAAATATACTTATATATATATATATATATATATATATATATATAATATACTTTATATATATATATATATATATATATATGTCTTTTTCTAATAAAATGTTTTATAAATACGATAGCATTATAAACGATGTGAAACTGATGTCTATTATGATAACAAATATTAATAATTATTATTATAATAAAAATATTAATAAATATTAAATATATTAATAAGTAGTATTAATTATTTTATTTTTAATATTATTATTAATTTTCTATTATTAAATTTATTAGTTATTCATTAAATAATTACAATTATTATTTTTATATTATAACTATCATTATTAATAATAAGATATTAATAAAAGTAAAAATAACATTAAAGATAAAAATGTTTTAAATAAAATAATTAATATCAATTATTATTAATTTTATTTTAATAAATTATATATATATATATATATATATATATATATATGAAAGTAAAAAAAAAACTGAAACAGTATTTATAACAAGACCTATTCTATATGAAGTCTTCATACAAACAAATCTTATCTTTTTAAGTAATTTTTTTTTAAATTATTCCTAACTTTAAAATGTATCATTTTAATGCTTCTATCCTTATTTATAATATATATATATATATATATATATATATATATATATATATATATATATATATATTAAATTGTCTCTATATAATATAATGAATAAAATAATATTATAATTATGCATTAAATGATGATCAGTACATTTCACATTTAGCTTATTTAATTTATTTTGTCTTTAATGTTAAAAATTTTATACAGAAAACTTCCATAAATAATATTAAAAGTATTTATAATTATAAATTTTCATTGAAGAGTGTCTTTGGTTTCAAATTTTTGGAGGATTTAAACATTAAAAAAATAAGAACAACTTAAATATAGCTTGCGCATCCGGGGAATCGAACCCCGGTCAGTACCGTGGGAGGGTACTATGATACCACTACACCAGATGCGCTTTTGAAAATAAGCTCCTCTCATTTTTAATTTGGTAAATTAAAAATTAGTACCATATGGTTAGTAATAGTATTAAAGCTTTTACATTCTTAATCTATTAAAAAACTTAATTAACACGAGTCTTAAACCAAAACTCTCGGGTTTTTTATTTTCACGTATTTTATTGAGTTGTTAAAGGTGAAGTAAAATATTAAGGTGTTTTTATAAAATGCCATCATTTTATTACCATTTTTGTAAAACATCATCGTTTTGATAGCAATGTAATAGTAAAATACGTAAAACTATAAAAATATATAATTGTGAAATGTTAAAAAAGGAATGGAAGGTATACAAAATAAAAGAAGTTAATGGTAATATATGAGAAAAAAATTAATGATAAAATTAACAAAATCATGATAACTGAATGATATAATAGTAATTAAACTAATAAATTTTAAGAAAAATTTTATATAAGTTGACAAATTTATCGTAGATGATTCTGTAAAAATTCCATCATAAAATCGTGCCCAATCTACTTTTTCTTAATTTTTATTTATTGTTAGTGTAAATAATTTTATGTAGAAGTAACAAAAAAAAGTTATTAAATAGTTAAATAATAAAATCTTATTAAACTTTCATGTAAAATATTTTACATGCAGAGGTGGAGGGAGAAATAAAATGTGAGTGGACAATTTATTTTTTTATAAAGTAAATTTTTTTAAAATATTTTGATATATATATATATATATATATATATATATATATATATATAAACTTTGAAATTAAATTTACATGCGTATAAATCAAATTTTACTTTTCACATATAATTGCCTATAAAAAATTAATTAAAAAGTAAATAAATATTTAATATATTAAGCATTATTATAATTTTTTTTAAAATTATTATAAAAAAATTATATAAACAACTCCATCATAAAATATTATTACACCAAACCATGCGATCAAACCCTATGCGAGCTTTTAACCTGGTACATTAATTAGATATCAATTATTTTGATGAGTTTCTTTATAATCAAATGAAGAATATGACAAGAAATTGTTTACCAAATTGATTTGTTATGTTTAGTGCTTTATTCTCAAAATAATATATATATATATATATATATATATATATATATATATATATATATAAATAAACAGAATCTATCGTTCAATCTTATTCTTTTTAAATATGATTTTAAAATAATTCTTATAAAAATTATTTATATTTAAATTGTAAGTTCGTGTAAGAAAATTGTAAGTAAATTTTATAAATAAGACATATTATATATATATTAAATAAATTATTACAGAATTAAGAATTTTATGTAAATTGATAAACTTGATTTTCTCGTCTTAAATTTAATTTTGATCAAAACAATTTTAATTATGGTCCTTACGAATCAGATCATCCATATAGTATAAAAAAAATTCTAAATATTTGATACCTTTCTCTTTGAAAGAGATATCAATTCGAGCGATGATTTGATTATATATCTTATAATTAGAATCGTTTTTTTTATTCCGTTTGGATCAACAAACCAACCCTTGGAACATACTACAGTTACAGGTGGCGAAGAGCCGACATCGAGGTATCAAATCTTCTCGTCAATGTAAGTTCTTGGGGAAGATCAGCCTATTATCCCTAGAATAACTTTTATCCGTTGAACGACGACCTTTCCACTTGGTA